TCCAGCAATAATGTAATAGACTGTTCAACAAGATCTCATCCTGTAAACTACGGTGTGATAAACCTTCCTTTAAAGCCTTCGGTCTCAAAAGTTTAGTTGTTAATGCCCTAGAACGGTTCGTTTAGGAGTTATTTAACGATGTAGATTCAATAAATCCTGCCAAATGTGTTGCGGATTGCATTTTACACACACACTCATTGTGGAACAGACATGCCGCTGCCGCTAACATCGCTGCCTTGCCCGCGGATATTGTGGTTTCGCCGACATTCACCACCGTTACCGCAAATGTAACTGCCAGCTCCGCCATTTCCACTCCCGCCCTTTGGCCCCGCTTTTCCACAATCCCAAAAGCACTCCCGCCGCCCCTGCCTTTCCTGCTTTTTCACCGAACCATATCACCACCAACGCCTCCATTGCCCCAATCACCCCATCCGACGGCGACGTCAACCATCGCTGACATTTACTGCCGTAATCTCAACCATCCCCACAAACATCTGCGTTTCTAGCACCGAAGCCACCGGTGTTTTCACTACCACCATCACTGCCTCTTCCATCTTAGCCTAATCTGCCTCCTCACTACCACCTCTTCCACCGCCCCATCATTGTGACTTCCATACCCATCCACAAGCCCCGGGCCAGCGTCGCCATCATCACTACCTCTGTGCTCACTCAAGTCAGTCCCGACTGTCGTCACCACTGTTACAACCGCCGCCTCCCCTTCCTTCCCAATCACCACCTCTCATCCGCTACCATCCCCAACCGCCGCCACCCTTCCATCACCACCATCATCACCACAGTCACCTCCGTCACACGCATAGACGCCGGTTCATCTTTACCATCATTATCACCGTCTCAGCTGCCTCCGGCCCACCATCGCCACCACCGCCCCCGCTGCCGCACCCACTCACTTCACACTCGCCACGTTCTCCGTCACCGCCTCCACTGCCCGCCCCTGTGTCGTCATTACCATCGCCGTCCCGTTGCCGCAGCTTCTGCTTCTGCGAACGCAGACCGAGGCTGGTGGCGAAGAGGCGGCGCCGGGAGGCGTCTGTTAGCGGCGGCCTGGGTGTCTTGTGGCACTAATGAACTGTTCGTTTCAACGCAGCCCCCCCTCCACCGCCTCCGCCGTCCGGGCCGCTTCTTCCACAGCCGCGCGGGGCAGAGGACGGGCGTGGACTACGGAAGGGAGAGGCGGGAACGGGCGCAGCGAGAGAGGAGTGGTGAGGAAATGTAGAGTAGGAAGAGGAGGGAGGCGCAGGGGTGGGTCGTCGGAAAGTAGGATGGTGTTGAGCGGGGTGAGATATTCAGCTGGGCAGATTGGGGTGGGTGGAAACGAAGGGTGGGAGTACAAAGCAGGATGGAGGGTCAGGGAGTATAGACAAGCGGAGAGCGTAGACGAGATGAGTGAGAAGGCTGGGAAAGAGCGACAGGGCGGAAGGATGTCGGCGGAGAAAGCACAGGGTGCGGGATGAAGTGGGGTGACACGGTTCCGGGGGATGTGGATGGAAATGGAAGGGCAATGGGGGACAGAGCGGGGCAGAATAGATCGGACCGGGGCGGTGCAGAACGGGGCGATGGGGGCAGAACGGCAGGCGGAACAATGCGGTATGGGTCGGGGAAGTAGGGACAAAGAAAGCACGGGGTGGAGATGGGGAACGCGGTACCAGGGGATGTCGGTGGGAATGGAAGAGCAATGCGGGCAGGGCAGATTGGAACTTGACGGGGAAGGGCGGGGGCCAGCGAGACGCACTGCGCTGGTCGTGCA